ACATTTTTCTTTTATTCCATTAATAATTTTGATGATGAGGGAAGATGAAAATGGATAAGATTCAAAAGAAAAAAAAATAAAGATGAGATAAAAACAATTTATCTACAGTTCTGGTCAGAATTATTTGTCACCTATATCTTCGGGAAAAAGGGGGAAAGAACCAGATTTCATTAATTCCTCTTTGTCTCATCCAAACGATCATCCTCAACTTCGCCTTCATTCTTCTTTCTTCTTCTTTTTCTTCTTCTTTTTCTTCTTCTTCTTTTTCTTCTTCTTCTTCTTTTCTTCTTCTTCTTCTTTTTTCTTCTTTTTCTTTTTTTCTTCTTCTTTTCTTCTTCTTTTCTTCTTCTTTTCTTTCTTCTTTTCTTCTTCTTTTTCTTCTTCTTTTTCTTCTTTTTTCTTCTTTTTTCTTTTCTTTTCTTCTTCTTTTTTTTTCTTCTTCTTTTCTTTTTCTTCTTTTCTTCTTTTTCTTTTCTTCTTCTTTTCTTCTTTTTCTTCTTCTTCTTTTTCTTCTTCTTTTTCTTCTTCTTCTTCTTTTTCTTCTTCTTCTTTTTCTTCTTCTTCTTCAGTTTGTCTTGCCACTGTGATTTATTCTCATCGTCTCCATCCTCCCAAATCACAAGACACTCTTCTTCCACTATCGCGAAAGTTGTGGCAGAAAGTTTCTCTTCCCAGACGTAATATGCTTGAGATTAATTTCTCAGGACCTTTTTCTCCAGAAAAAGAAATTACAGTGAAGAAATACATTTTTCAGCATATTATTATTATGTTCTCTCTCTCTCTCTCTCTCTCTCTCTCTCTCTCTCTCTCTTATATATATATATATATGTAAGCAAATATATGGATATAAAAATGAAAATACAAAAAAAACAAAATTCTGAATATGCATTATTAATGTTAAAATAAAGTCGACGTCGGACGTTTCGGTCTATTTAAGACCATCTTCATGGACATTTTCATTTAAACATAATTAACATTATAACTTTTGGATTTGCATTGTAACGGGAAAGACTTTAAAGCTTGTTGAAGATATAAGAACCAATTGATCACTACGTATTCCAACATCAACGGAAGAGATTTCTTTAATTGTTTATAAAAAATTTTTCATTCGACTTTTTGATATTTTTTAATTTTTTTTTTTTTTTTTTTTATTTTTGGAAATCATCTTCGAATACGTCTTAACAACATCGCCCACGTGACGACTACGTGATCATATTTAAACAGAACGCTGATCTGTATAAAATTTCAGTTATCTGTCTGAATTAGTTGGGCTCTTATGTCCATCGTCTTTTGTGTTAAATTGTTATAAGTTATAATGTTAATTATGTTTAAATGAAAATGTCCATGAAGATGGTCTTAAATAGACCGAAACGTCCGACGTCGACTTTATTTTAACATTAATAATGCATATTCAGAATTTTGTTTTTTTCTGTATTTTTCATTCATATATATATATATATATATATATATATATATATATATATAGAGAGAGAGAGAGAGAGAGAGAGAGAGAGAAAGGGTGGGAGGGATAAATTGTCGTCTAAATTACGTAAAAATGAAAATAACACAGACATATTTACCAAAATTACCCAATAAAGTCGCCATTGGCTTCAACTACAGCCACAGGACGACTTCGGAGTCACCTGCATCTCTTCTGGACGGTCTCCTTGTTTAGTGGATGATATTATAATGCTTGCCTTCAGGCCATCTTTGGTGCTACAACGAGTTTTGTTGGTCTCTTGCAGTCTGAGGAATTAGGTTGTCAAATGTAGGGGCTGATGTGATCGCAGAAATTGTCTGACAACCATGACGAGGTTCTCCTGCTTGTGTGGCATGGTGCAGAGTCCTGTTGCCTGACATAGGGTCTTCCAGCAGCCACCCTCTTGACTCAGGACAACACTACCTCCTCAAGGCACTTGATGTAGTTCTCCGTGTCGAGTCTGAGGTTCTGGGGGAAGATAAATGGAGGGATAAAGTCGCTATCATTAGTATTCACTCCAAACACGATGATGTTGACTGGATACATCATCCAACTCTTTCCGAATCTTCTGCGCTGTCCTCAGATTGACACACAAACACTCTGAAATGTTCGTATTGAAGCTTCCGGTGCGAATGCCAAGCAGTACAGCATGCCGTTTCCAAATTTCTGGCGGAGTGAATTGCGTCACGGTGCTCTTTTTGCACAGACAGTGCACAACTGACCCTACTATACTGTGCAGTCGACAAAATCAGAAGCAAACAAAGCGCATGCGCGAAATTAAAAATATAAAATGGCGACAATTTACTCATAGCACTCTGTGTGTGTATATATATATATATATTTATGTACAAATTGGTCATCTCGAGGCGGTGTAATAGTTAGCAAGCTTGTCTCGCTAGAACAATTACAACTGAGTCGTAAGTTCGAACCTCACTGGGTGCCCCCTCACTTCGGCCTTGTGCCACATCTAAGCTACGCTTGGAAAATCACTATATTTATATACAAACTCTCCTTACGCACTTATATCGATTGCCACCTTTTAAAATTCTCGTCACTGGTATGTCGTGAGGTAGTCAAGTAGAAGAGTCTGTGAGAGAACATAACGGCCTTTTTCCTCTAATCTTTTTTTTTATTTCTGCCTTCTTGATGTCGTCCACTTATCTTCTTAACACTTTTGATTTCCTCCTCCTTGTTCTTTTTCACACGCCTCTTCTTCTTCTTCTTCATTTCATTTTCCTTCTCCGTGAACTCATTCTTTCTATCTGTTTTCCTCTTCTTTATCTCATGCTTCCTTTTCTTCTACTATTTCTCGTCTTCTTTTTCTTCTTGATCTTTTTCATTTTTTCTTCTTCTTGGTCCCACTTTCTCTTTTTCCTTTGCCATAATCACATTTATTTCTTTTTTTTCTTTTGTTTCTTCTCTTGATTCTCTTTTTTCTTCTTTTCCTTGATCCCTTTCTTTTCTTTTTTTTTTCTTCGTCATGTTCTCACTTATTTCTTTTTCTATTATTGTTACTTTTTTCTTCTTCTTTTTGACCACATTTTTCTTCTCTTTCACCTTGATTTCATTCTTTTTCGTCTTTTTTACTTCCTTCTTGATCCCCTTTATTCTCTTTCTTTCTCTTCTTCTTAATCTCATATTTTACCTTTTTTCTTGCTCTTTATTTTTTTTTTCATTTCATCGATTCATTTTTCTTGACGCCATTTTGTTTTTTATCCCAACCGTTTCCTCTTACTTTCGAGATTTCACTTCTAGATTTTATTCCTTTTCTCCTTTTTGTTCTTTGTCGGTTTCCTCTTCTTGTAGACCCCATACTTTTCCCTCCTTCGAATTATTCCTTTCTCTTTGATTTTCTTTTTTTTTAATCGCTTTATTTGTCATTTTTTGACTAGAATATTGTTATCTCGGCCCCAAGCTTTTCTTCCTCTTCATCTCATAATTTCTTGTAGTCATCTTCATCTTCTTTTTAACCTCATCCTTTTACTTTCTTCTTTATAACTTCATTACCTCTAGTCTTTTTTTTTTATTCAACGAAATGTTTAAGACCTTCTGGACTTCATCAGTCAGTTATGTGCCATGCCTGATACACGCTTAAGCGAACATGTATCTTTCGATACATAACTGAGGAGGCAGATATTTTCCCACGGTAGGTTGGCATTTCTTTCTGCGGTAGACCAATTGCCATCCAAGGCTATAGAACTCACTCTTTCCTGCTATTTACCCATAGATGGGGGGTGAAGAAGAGGATGATACCTTTCCCAAGGGTATTAGCACGTAAGTGAATGTATTGGATTCGACTGGAATTCGAATTGGACTTCACACTTTCTCTATTTTCTTTAATCTGAACGTTTCTTCTACTTCTTCTTCTTCTTCTTTTTCTCCTGCTCCTCTTCCACCTCCTCCTCCTCATTCTTTTTCTTCTTCTTTATATCTTCATCCACTTCATTCTTGTTGTTGTTATATCTTCATCATCTTCATTCTTCTTGTTCTTGTTCTTGTTCTTTATTTCCTACCTCTACTCATTCTTCTTCTTCTTCTTCTTCTTCTTCTTCTTCTTCTTCATCATCATCTCCTCCTCGTTCTTCTTCTTCTCCTCCTCCTCCTCTTCCTCCTCCTCCTCCTCATTCTTCTTCTTCTCCTTTATATCTTCATCCTCTTCATTCTTCTTGCTCTTCTTGTTCTTTATCTCCTACCTCTACTCCTTCTTCTTCTCCTTCTTCTTCTTCTTTATCCCCTACCTCTACTCATTCTTCTTCTTTTATTCTTCTTCTTCATCATCATCTCCTCCTCATTCTTCTTCTCCTCCTCCTCCTTTTCCTCCTCCTCCTCATTCTTCTTCTTTATATTTTCATCCTCTTCATTCTTGTTCTTGTTCTTCTCCTTCTTCTTCTTTATCTCCTACCTCTACTCATTCTTCTTCTTCTTCTTCTTCTTCTGTTTCCAGGGTGACCCATGCTTCATCGTCACGTTCCTCCAAAACCACTTTACCCATCTTCTTCCACCATCTTGAATATCATACCACCGACCTGACACGCTTTATTCTCGACTACACGTTAACATTAACGAGGTTCCCTTATCTCTCCCTCCACTTATGCCATTCTTCTGCACGATTTTGTCCTTTTTTCTCCCTACACGTTCTATTTTTTTTTTTTTTTTTCAATATTCATAGGAAGGTAAACGGCATGATGGCTGTGGCTTAGGTAGTACTTTTTTTTTGTTTTTATTTTGTTTTTTAATTTTAGTATTTTCTGTTTGTCTTTTTGGTTTTGTGTGTATGTGCGCATGTGTGCGCACGCGCGTGTATATCTGTGTGTTTAGTATATTCATAATTTTTTTATCTCTCACTTCTTCACGTTTCGATTCATTCCGCTTGCAACTGTCTGCACAGATTTTGTAAGACGCGTATCATATTTAGTCATCTTGATGTGGAGGGGGCTGAAAGAAAGAAAGAAAGAAGAACGAAAAAAGAAAGTTGCCCAAACGATAGCCACATCATAAAGAAAGAGAAGAAGTTAGCTAGCTAGCTAGAAAGAAAGAAAGAAAGAAAGAAAGAAAGAAAGAAAGAAAGAAAGAAAGAAAGAAATGTGTATGAATGATAGACAGAAAACCAAGAAAGAGAAGGAATTAACTCGCTAACTAAAAATAAATAAAGAACAAACGAACGAAATAAATAAAGAAATAAAGAAAGAACGAAAAAGAAAGTTGCCCAAATGATAGACAGATAATAAAGAAAGAGAAGAAATTATCTAGCTAACTAGAAAGAAAGAAAGAAAGAAAGAAAGAGGGAAAGATAAAGAAAGAAAGAAAGAAAGAAAGAAAGAAAGAAAGAAAGAAAGAAAGAAAGAACAAACGAAAAAAGAAAGTTGTCCAAACGATAGAAAGAGAAGAAATTAGGTAGTTAACTAGAAAGAAAGAAAGAAAGAAAGAAAGAAAGAAAGAAAGAAAGAAAGAAAGAAAGAAAGAAAGAAAGAAAAGTGTACGAATGATAGACAAAAAACAAAAAAAAAAGAAGGAATTTTCTCACTGGCTAAAGTAAATAAAGAAAGAAAGAACGAAAAAAAGAAAGAAATTTGCCCCAACGATAGACAGAAAACCTGAGAATAGGAAGAGTTACCTAGAAAGAAAAAAGAAAGAAAGAAAGAAAGAAAGAGAGATAGAAGGAAAAAAAAGTTTAGCAAACGATAGACAGAAAACAAAGAAAAAGACGGAATTAACTCGCTAGAAAGAAAAAAAAAGAATAAAGGGGAAAAATAAAGGAAATTGCATGAAAAAAAGACCAAAAGAAATTTGCCATCAATGAAAAAAATTTACACGAACGATTGACAAAAACAAAGAAAGAAGGAATTTGCTATAAAGCAAGAAAACAAACAAGAAAGAAAGAAAGAAAGAAAGAAAGAAAGAAAGAAAAAGTTGCATGAACGAAAAAATAAAAGAAATTTGTTAAAAAGAAAGACAGAAAGAACAAAAATAAAATTACTAGAAAGAAATAAACAAAGAATGAAAAAAAAGACTATGAAAAGGAGTCGTTGGAAATAGAGGCAAATAAAGTTAAAGAAAGAAAGAAACAAACAAATAAAAAGGAAGTTGCCTGAACGAAAGATAAAAGAAAGGAAAATAAATTTGCTATAAAGAAGGCAACAAAACAAATAAAATTGCAAGAAACAAACAAAAACAAAGAAAGAAAAGAAATCCACTAGAAAGAAAGAAATTGAGAAATAAATATCTATATAAATAAATTTGCACGAAAGGTAAACAGATAAATAAAAAATAAAAAATTATTATTAACAAACTGCCAGAAAGAAAGAACGTAAAATAAATTTGATAAAAAGAAAGAAAAAACAAACAAACAAAAAATATTGAAAGAAACAAGCAAAAAGAAATAACGGTAAAAGAAAGAAAGAAAGAAAGAAAGAAAGAAAGAAAGAAAGAAAGAAAGAAAGAAAGAAAGAAAGAAAGAAAAAGGAAGCTGCTTGAACAAAAGTAAAAAGAAGGCAAAATAAATTTGATAAAAAGAAAGAAATAAACAAGATTACAAGAAAGAAAGAAAGAAAGAAAGAAAGAAAGAAAGAGAGAGAGAAGTGACTGGCACCGCATTCCTAATGTCATGAATTCAATGCTCAGATGTGGAAAACTCATCTGAACTTATTAAATATCGATAATTCCCCTAACCGGAGAATAGTATTTAGTAAGTTAAATGATTCTTACTATAGTGAATTCAGTTACTAACTGACGCCTTTCACTGGTAGCCATGTGCCACACGAAGTCTACCGACTCGTTCGTGTTTCTCATAACATTTCTTGCTTATTAGGAGTTTAATTAATTTTTAAGTTATAACTATCGGTGCGATGAATAAGTAGAATACAATTTTGAGGGGTGCTTTTATCGTAAGCCAACATCAAATCCACAGGCCTCCGGGGCTGCGGTGAGTCTTGTTCTTGTCTTCGGGCATGACAGGGTGTTAAACGGATGCAGATGTGCCTAGCCCCTGGGAATGCAACTCCGGGGCAGCACAGCTCGTTTCTACTAAAAGAGGAGGGTCATGAGCTGCCGTGACGCCTTTGCCGCACAGAGCGTGGAAACGAGGTAGTTTTTACCTCAATCAAAATGCGTCTGGGGAGAACGACATTAAACATTAAGCCTGTATCATGTTTGTCCTTGTGGGGAAGGAAACAAATACAATGATTCCGTGTACATTTGGAAGATGACCTGTATATAGACAAGATTCTAATTCCGATATATATGTTGCTATGTTGCACACACACACACAAACTATATATATATATATATATATATATATATATATATTTGCGTTGATATGATTTTGCGACCCTGGGTTTCACGCCCTTTGCGATCGTCAGACATCGTAAAGAACGTGAAACCCAGGGTGACAAACTCACATCAACGCAACTAAATGTGTTGCTCCTATCACTGATACTGAGCGCTTTCCAATAGGTACCGCACATATATAATATATAAATAATATATATAAAAAATTCATATATATATATGAGTGTGTGTGTGTGTATGTCTGTGTATAAATATATTGAAGTGAACACCCACAGGCGACAATGTTCACTTTTTATATTTATATATGGTGTTTTCCTGTATTGAGCACTTTAACCCATAAATATAGCATACCTTAAAACTATATTTTATCACACACTATATATACATATATATATGTGTGTGTGTGTGTGTGTGTGTGTGTGTGTATGTCTGTGTATATATATATATAAATATATATATATATATATATATATATATATATATATGGCTTTTCTTTCAGACATTATCAAGGATTTGTTTTTCGTCTTGTGTTTAATTCTAACTGAACGTTTACATTTTTATGTATGTATCTAGATATGGATTTTTTTTCAAACACGGTCAGCACTTTGTTACCATGATCTTAGTTGATGATATTGAATGTTGATCTTTTCTTTTTATTATCAATGCTTCCATTATTTTTAGTTTTTTACATGTACGCGAGGTTATTAGAGTTATATTATTTGTGAATTCACATGTCCCTTAAATAACCATGTTCTTGATGAAAGCAAATTCATAAATAATTATGTTGGACATACAACTACATGCCTATCAGGAAGACTCATGTTACATCTCTCTGATCATAACGCAATTAGGACTCATTTAAACACAGAGTTACCTACCAAGTTATCCACAAGATATTTGGAGAAAATACAACTATAATAGCTTCATCTACACACCCAGTTAGAATTTAAAATAATAAAAAAACACACACCTATGATAATGGCTAAAAGAATAGCCGAAACCGCTCGGATATACAAACCATACAAAACACTTTATGTCCAGAAAAGAAAAACTTATAAGAACACAAGAAAAATTAAGTAAATAGCTTAAACGCAGTACCATGTCAGTGTTCGTTAATGATATATATATATATATATATATATATATATATATATATATATATATATATGTATATATGTGTGTGTGTGTGTGTGTGTCTGTGTGTGTGTCTGTGTCTGTGTGTGTGTATTAATAGTCACTTTCTCACTGACATGGCGTAGTTTTTCTCTGTCTTTTCTACAAATATTTTCATGGCAATTGCTCTGACGAGCTTTTTTACCTGGTGCTCGACTACATGAATTTAATTGGCATCGAGGTCCCCACCCATTTACTGTTGAAATAGCTAAATGAAAACGCCACTTCTATTCAAACAGTTTCTTCAAAATTTAAATGCAACGCCAATCACCATCTTCTGTCTTCTTGAATCCCGTTCATCTTTTGCTCTTTCCTCAATCCTCCCTATACCGGCTTTTCCCTCACTTTCGCACCCTGCAACCTTCCCCCGCTGTATACTAGTAGCATTTCCGCCTTGCTTGAGGTGAAATGATTTAAAAGAAAAAATATACATTTTTACCTCACCAGTAGTACAACTCTTATTGAAAACTGGCTGTTGCATAATTTAAATATTGATATTCATATTGTACTGTAATGATAGTGGAACAGTCCAGTTTATTTGCGTTAGAGGTAGGTGAAAAATAAATAAATAATATAAAAATTTTTAAAAATCATAGTAATATATGCACATAAACAAATAGACATATGCACACACATACCACAAAACAGTAAAATATAACGATAATTCAAATAGTAATATGCACAACTAATTCTTTGCTTTAAAATATAATACAAATGTCATGGCATATTCACATATACAAATATATTAAAAATAAATACGCTTAAATTCACCTTCATCCCAGCTGTGTCTAGAGGCAACGTGACGTCTATCCACACATGATGAGCTGTGATACAGAGAAACGGTATGTCTGTGGATGACAAAATAGATGCTCCTGAAAAATTTATTTCGGTTGAGCTCTCTGGGGATCCGTGCGCCAACGGCTTAGGAATAGAATCTCCGACTGGCGCCAATTCAGTCGTGTTTCGATCCTAGCTTGAGGCAACCGGACGTCTAGCCACACAGGTGGCCCGTGATATAGCGTGATATAGTCTGTCTGTGAATGACAATATATATATATATATATATATATATATATACATTTACATAGACATACAAAGGTGTACATATAAAATTTTATTACATCTTCGCTTATAAATATATATATATATATATATATATATATATATATATATATATATATATATATATATATATATATATATATATATATAACTAGACTAGTTTCGAAAAGCCAAACTTTCCTGACGATCCGTTTAGGTGAAACCTAGGTAGGTTTGTCTGGCTCACTAGGTGTATCTATATATATAGCCGAGTGGTTAGAATGTTCGCTTTCTGAACATGAAACCCGGATTCGAATTTCACCAAGGTTGTTTTGTCAGGAAGAAGATTCCCTGATGTTATCAGTAAGGAGTGGGGTCGATCCCAGCGTTCGGCACCTTTGGAAAGTGCCGGAAGACAATACCATGGGTTGACCCAAGCCTTGTGAGTCGATATATTTTTCCGTTTGCTGTGCTAACACGAAATCACAAGTCATCGTGACCGAGGATTTGAGTGTGCTGGCCTTGTTCAGATTGTTGATCAAGCTAGATAAAACTCTTTCTCCCAGAAACTCTAACTAAGGCTTGCTCAGCATAGTTGCAGTATAAACTACAGGTGGGCTCTGTGGGTGTTGAACAAACACAAATGTGCATGTGCGAGCGTCTGCAATAGGGATTGGCTAGGCACCCTAATAGACGGGCATCCTCAAATACGAGTGGTAATTTTTGATACCGCCATCTTTTATTTGCCAGTAGTATTTAGAGAGATCAGTATTATTTGTGTATTTATCATTACTTAAACTTAGTTTATGATAATTGTTGTGATATTGGGGCTGGCAAGACATAACACTTAACTCGAAAGAGTCGTGATAGTAGTATTAAATACTCAGCTAGACAATTCATTCCAACAATATTATTTTCTTTTTACCTAGACAATTACCCAGGACTACTTATCATGAATGGATCAGTCCATTCATGATAGTAAGGAGGGAACTGGCTCTTACCACAATAATAATAAAATCAATTTTTTCATTGCGTTTCATTTGATCCAATGTAAAATTTATTTTCTTTATCAGATTCTTTATCTTAGCTCTATAAAATATATTAATAATTAAACATTGACCATTTAAGGGACAGTTTTATATTTTCAGCAGTAACATTTTTTTATTTTTTCTTCTCTTGGTTCATTATAGTTGTTCTTTTATAGGGTTATATAGTTATTCAATAATATATTGTAGGTACTTCCATAAATTTTAAAAGAGTGCATATCATGTAAAAGACTGCAAACTGGATAAAAATAAAGTTCTATCGTCAAAACATTTATATGTTATTATTAAGAGGAAAAACCAAAGTATTTTTGATTATATTAGTAATTCTTTTTAATCCTTTCTAGTACATTCGAAATTTTGGTTAAAAATATTGTATTTTTTTTCTTTTTGCGTCAACGCGTGGGTCAAAGATTAGTATGGGATATTGCGTCATTTTGTAGTAAATAATACATTGTTTTGAAAATTCTTGCAAAAATCAAACAATTACTTAATTGTAATGAAATTTTCATGACTTATTTACAAATAAATTAAATTATTTTGGAAAATTCTTTTAGAAAATCTTGGTAAATATATTTTTCTTACAATTGTTAACACCCACTTATGTGATTTTATGAGAGTTCGAGAAGTTAAAATTCCAAGATCTTCGTATTTATAGCAGTTAAAAAGAGGGTTCCTTGGAAAATTTAAATCTTTGATTTTTTTGTCAACGAGAAACACAATTTACCGAAAATCTGCCTCTGAATCATATGATAAAAAATTCTATATATCTATAACATTATTTAATGAGAAAAACTTTTAATTGCTTTTATAAATCAGATTAACAAGGATACTATTGTCTCAAGAAAAAATAAATATAATTTTTTCAATGAATAATGAATTTTTAAAAGAATTGTTTTCATTTTTTAAAATTTTAATTAAAAGAATTTAGTAAGTTTTAAATCTTTTAAAATTCTGTATTGATTTCAACGGTTTTGATGATATTATTATTAAGTGAAAACTATATTTACTAATCATAAATGGAAAAACTTAATACAAATCATCAAACAT